CTCCTGCTAAGGTTTCTTGGAAAAAAGCCTCAACTCCAGGCTACAGTGCAACAGAAGACACATTTAAAGATACTGCAAATCTTGTTAAAGAAGACTCTGAGGCATAACTGTGCTGGCTATTTAGGGAATAATTAGAAACACACTTTTGCACATTTTTTTTTTTTACGGACAGATGAAAAAAATTAACATTCAGTACTTTATTAAAAGAATATATTTTCCCCGCATACTCCTGTAGTTGGTACTGTTTGTGGAAACAATGCCTTATGTGTCTTTTTTACTCATCTCATATTTTTACAACTAATTATCACCTTGTACTATATGTATATCTTTGCACTGAAACTCTCTGAAGGTAATGCTATAAATATATTGTACATTTGTAAATTTTGGAAAGATTATCACATCATTAAATTTGCTAATGAAAGTATCTGCTGAATTGGTTGGTGATCATTACATTCAGTGATCCACTGAAGAAAGGAATTGACTCGAGGCCTTTAGCAATGTCAGAAGAAGAGGCACCACACTAAGACCCTATAGAATTATCAAGGAAGGGAATCCAGGCCCCACTCTTGGGTCCATTTTCACACATCAGCACTTAGTGTTCAATTTGACCTGATGAATAGCATATCCATGGAGACGCAGATGATAGAGAAGGTTGAAAAAACTATTCAGTTCCACCCTTCTGCATGTTGGCATTATCCAAGCAGAACTCTGTTTCCTATTATCTCCCTAGCTACCAAGTCAACATTTTTATGTTAATGTCTGAGAAAAAGCTCATGTCCTTAAGTCTAAGTATCCAGCAAAGAGTTTGTAATCTAGTCACATGAACTTTCATTTGATGGACCATAGAGTGATCGACACCCTTTCCCAGCATCTCAGGTGGTCACCTACTCTAGAAACTGGAGCTGAATGAATGAAAGGCAAATCTGTCTTCCTAAAGGAAGGTGCAAAGCAAATACCAGCAAAGCAAAGCAAAGCCAGCTGGATTTTGTGTTTCTCTGTGTGAAAATTTTCCTTATAACTACTATTTATTTTCTCAGTTGAACATGAATAGAAAGGGAAACCATTTTTATTGAGCCTTGCTTAGGTCCTTTAGCAAAACCATACATTTGTATCAGAATGTATTGCAGAGTCTAGCCTTCCTCCTGAATCTAGACTCTAGTCTCCACAGCCGGAACTGTGGCAGGAATACAGTTTCCACACTAGGTAGCATTCCCAGTTCTCTGTGCTAATAATGCACATTTTACAACAATGAATGAATGAGTGTATGAATGGACAGATGGATGAATGAAACACGTACTACTGATGATTTTATTCCTGAGTTCTCAAAATATTTTTTGCTCATATTTTGAGTGCTTATTGTAATTATTTTGAAATGTACTTTGATTAGAAAAGCAAATGGAAATGATGCTGCTGAAAATTTTCTAATAAAGGTGTATTTTATCAGACTTCTTCTGTGTGCTTTATAAACCCATGTCATGAATTGGTTGTATTTTGCTGTGCGTGGAGCCCGAAACTTTGAGCGCTAGGCATCAGGGAACCAAGAATGCCCTGGGTTCAAGAGGGGAGGAGAAGGAAGAGGAAGCCCCAGGTCATGTAGCCCTGAAACTGGCCTGGGGGGTGGTGAACACAGGAGGATAAAGTGTAGGTTTCCACCTGAACTCTGGGCAGGCAGCCCCCTCAGTTGCCTTAAAGAGTCATCCAGTCCCCCTCCCCTTTCCTTCCTCACACCCTAGGACCCCAGCCAGTTTCCCACCTTGGATCTGATGGTGATGGGAAGGCAGCAGCAGGGTCACAGCTGGAGAGGATGTTGTTCAGCTTGGGATTTGGGCTCCAGTGGGGTGTGTGAGCCATACCAGCCCGAAGTCAGAGTAAAAGGGAGTTCCAAAACGGTTGTGATTTCCACCTTTGGTATTTGTCTTGGGCCTTAAGCTCAATAAGAAATAATCTGGGGAATTTAAAAAATGAGAATTAATTTCCTGCTTAGCTTCATGTCTGGGTCTCCCTGGGAAGGACCTAGAAAGCGTGCTGCTGCGTGTCTGTCCTCGCCCATGTGAGCTGGCACTGGTCAGACCGTCAGTGGGTGGGTCACCCCTCCTTGGTTGGCTCTCCCAGCTGGGGTCCTGCCCCTGCTTTATTCTCTCCTGGAGAGAAGTTATGCCAGGTGTGTGGGGCGGGGGCAAGAGGGGGAGATCAGGAAACAGGGTGCTGTTTAAAGGATGAGAAAGCTGATGTGACTCAGTATCACATCCCATGAAGCCAGGTCAGTCCTAAAGGAAATCAACCCTGAATGTTCATTGGAAAGACTGATGCTGAAGCTTAGGTTCCAATACGTTAGCCACCTGATGTGAAGAGCTGACTCATTGGAAAAGACCCTGAGGCTGGGAAAGATTGAAGGTGGAAGGAGAAAGGGGTAACAGAGGATGAGATGGTTGAATGGCATCATTGACTCAATGGACATGAGTTTGAGCAAGCTCCAGGAGATAGTGAAAGACAAGGAAGCCTGGCATGCTGCAGTCTATAGGTTCACAAAGAATCGGACTCGATTTAGTGACTGAAAACAGTCACATGAGGTGGAAACAATTTTACCAGCAGAAATGTGTTATTGCACAGTGTAAAATCACAACCAAAATCCTTTTTTCTCCTTCATTCATTGATTCACTCACTCACTCCCTAGCCTATGTTCTTACCAGCATTCAGTTGCAGATGAATGGACACCAGTTAAATATGACTTTAAGGAAAATGTGTGAGAGGAGAACTTTTAGTGGGGAATTCCATCCACTAATTCTTGGCTTTTTTTTTTCCCTGAGTTAGGAAAAGATCACTAATATTTGATTTTTGAGATAGAGTACGTCAGGCTGGCTCAAAAATGAGAGCTAGTTAGGCCCTGGGGTGAGGGAGGGTTCTGAGGAAATTGGTTTTAGATGTACATTCTGGAAAGAGGCCTGGCCCTACTGCCTGGAGCCCTGGGTTGCCCTTGAATTCTCAGCCTCTCTTCAGTCTTCCTTTCTGCATTCATCAAGCCACAAGTCATACTGAAGATGACATATGATTATATGTTTCCGTTTTTTTTTAATGCTAATTTTATCTTGGAGTATATTTGATTTACAGTGAAAAGAAGTTGGACATACATGGAAGGTGTCTAAACCTTGGGAGAGGAGGGCCAGCTCTGGAGAGCATTGCCTCATGCCTCCACTGGTCCTAACCATGGCCATCTCAAGATGAGGATCAAAAAAAAAAAAAATCACTAGGCTTGTCAACTCCTGAAAGTTACCAGCCTTGTGGAGGACTTTTAGTCACATCAATTAGGTGCCTCTTCCTGGAAGTGAATTCAGAACATTTTGTTTGAAAATCAACCACGTGTCTGCATTCACTTTGTGTCCATGATATTCTGGAATAAACTATAGGAAACAAAGCAAACAGATCTCCAAAAATTATGTGACATCACTGAGTCCGCTTGGCTAACAATATAGTCATCGGATGCTATCCCGTCTCTTGCAGACTAGAGAGGAAGCGCTCATATTTCTGCTTCTCTGATAATTAGCATCCCCTAATGATCGTCGTTTGCTAACAGCACAGTTTCCCAACCAATTACTTCCATCACAGGAGCTAGGCCATCCTCCTGCTGCTAATCACTGAGCCTCAGCTGCTGCTTCTGTGGAAAACAGAGGGGGGCTATGAGAGTTCAGTGTGAAAATGCATCAATGTGTAGAGAGTGTATACAGCCCACTGCCTGGCACAAAGCCCCGAATCCCCAGTAGTCATGATTTTGATCATTTATTAAATGGAAGAGAGGGGAAGAGTTGTTTTTTTTTTTAATGAAGAAATGTATTTTGGGCTTCCCAGGTGGCACAGTGGTAAAGAACCTGCCTGCCAATGCAGGGGGCATGGGTTCAATCCCTGGTCTGGGAAGATCCCACATGCTGCAGAGTGGCCAGGCCTGTGAACCGTAACTATGGACCCTGCACTCTGGAGCCCAGGAGCTGCACCTACTGAGGCCTGGGTACCCTAGACCCGTGCTCTGCAGCAAGAGAAGACACTTCAGTGAGAAGTCCTTGCACCACAACCAGAGGGTAGACCCTGTTCCCCGCAACCAGAGGGAAGCCGACATGACAGTGAAGACCCAGCACAGCCAAAATAAACAAGTAAATACGATTATTTTTTAAAATAGACATGTACTTTTAAAATCTTTATAGAATGCAATTTCATGTTTAATTAGTTAAGTACTTTTGGCCACCCTATGCAGCACGTGGTATCTTTGTTCCCTGACCAGGGATCGAACTTGTGCCCCCTGCAATGGAAGTGCAGAGGCCTAGCCCATAGACAGCCAGGAAGTTCTCCAGGAAATCTATCTTTACAAGCTCCTTGGGGATTTTAACATGACGCTAAGGATAGAATTACTAATCTAAATAGAAGTGACTAATCTTTTTTTTTTAATGATGGATGTTATAGGGGTGGTCAAGATTTTCTCCAGGCCTGTGGAAGAATGCATAGATCTTGTATGCAATGAGGCTGGAGTGTAGATAAAATGTAGAGTCTCATTTTATTGTCATGCAAGAGTAATGGGAAGGCAGTAAAGAACCCTGGATGTGAAAGATGGGAATCCCAAGGCTCAGAAAGGGAGAGCTCATACACCCATCACAGCCTGGGGAACATGGCCCAGGTTTTTGCAGTGCCCCATATCAAGGGCTTTGCTGAATTAAAGAACAGGTTGATGAAGGAATTTGATAGAATATATTTAAAACCCATTCTTCTATCTCTTCCCATGTTTCCAGGCTCCAGAGGACTTTAATTATGCTCTCTTAGTTTCCCTGAGCTCCACTGTGGCTATGATTCCTCAAGAGGGCTTCTGGAGGTCAGGGAAGAGGAGATGAGAACATCCTGAGTCTTCCTGATATTAGAGACTTTTACCCCAAGATAAGTGGGATACAGTCTGTTTCCAAGAGTGCAATTGTATATTTATTGCTTCTAAGTTTTCATTTGTCGAGTTTTTTTTTTCTTCAAATTCAAAATTTAAAGGATAAGCAATCTTGAGCTGTTCTTGGCAACAGTGCTTTGCACTGTTTTCCAACTTTTCAAGGGACTGGATTCACTCAGTGGAGGTTAACAGAGACGTTACTATTTGCTGCTCAGAAATGTCCCCCACATTATGGAGGTGGTGCTTGGACTCTGGGCTCAGGAAGTCCATTTCTCTGTCATTGGCCCTCACTTAGGGCCTCGTGAAAACAGAGACAACAGTCATATGGGCAAGGGACCCCTCTCCTAGAGTGAACCTCTGAGTGGCCGTGTGACCTTGGACCAGTTGTTTCACCTCCCTGATGGTTAGCAACTTTATCTGGAAAGTAAAGTGGTTGGACAAGTTTATTGCTAAGTTCTTTGGTTTTCAAGTTCAATGACTTCTCTCTACTTCAGTCTTAATTTGGAATTTGGTTCAATACAAAATCACTGCCACTGTTTCAGTAAGTTGTAAGCCTGTTACATCAACTTCAAAGAAGTCAGCTTCAATTATAGCTTCTTAGTTTTTATCCTCAAATGCTGTCTCTCTCTAGGTGAGCTATCAAAGAGATACATTTTAGAAAATCTTTTCTTATTTTGAAGTATCTGAAAGCCTGCCAGTAAGTTTCAGGGTTGAAAGTTGCCACCAGGGGTTTATTTTTGCAGGAAACTCCTGCAAATATCCTTTGTAGAAGCCAAGGCCACGGGGGCCTATCATGGGATCCCAGGCCCACGGAGTGTTTCCTAAGGCATATGAAGGGACCCTAGTCACAGAGTAAGGCTGGCAGGAAGTCACCTCTGATGAGCCACTGGCATCCTGCAGACTTTTGATGAGATGCCAGGGCCTTAAATGGGCTCTGGATGAAAGAACAGATGAACCTAGAAGTAAAATAAATTAATTATGATTTTCAATTCTTTTCATGTTAAACCTGAATTTACTTTTTAATTGTGGTAAGATATATATAACATAAAGTTTTTAATTTGGATTTTTAGTCATCTACCTGACATCTGGAGCTGTTTTGTTTGTTTGTTTTTCCAAGATGGCCTTAGATGGCTTCCTGTAATGGCTTTGAAAATCACTGAGGCATGGTATTCCTTCTGATATTCTGACTGTGTCAGGGCCCATGAAAGGAGGGCAGGAGCCCAGACCAGCAGGAAGTGCCCTAGTCTCCTATGAGGGACACGGGAATTACTTCTCAGAATGGGCTGAGCCGTGGTGCTCAGAGTGCAACTTAACTCAAGCAGATGGCCGCCTTGGTTTATTTGGGAAGGTGAAGTAGAGTTGGAGCCAGGACTCTTTCCCTAACTAGCTGGCTGACCTTGTAAAAGCTGTTGAGTTCCTCTAAATTTCTGTTTCTTATCTTAAAAAAAAAAAGAGGAAGATAACGAATTCCATAGGGACACCAAGAAGACAGTATTTATTCATTCATTCTACAAATGTTGAACAAGCATCTACTAGGTACCATGGAAAGTAATAGCTAACATTCCAGAGCACTTTATGTGAAGTATCTCATTTAATTCTGGAAGCCTTATACTGAAAGTGCTATTGTACCATTTTACAGACCAGAAAACAGAGGGATAGATAGAAAGATAAAACCACAGAGAGCAAGATGCTTTTTTACTTTTAATTTAAAAATTAGAAAATTATATTTTGGTAATTATAGTCATAAAATAATTCAATGATTTTGTGTAAACGATAAAGCACAAAACAACAAACTTTGGCACAAGATCATGACCTAGGAAAAATTTTCCTTTACTTCCTCCATTTTATTTCTATGGATTGTTAGTAACCTACACTGTTCAGCAACAAAAACTATAAAAGCAGGTATTTACTGAAGGTTTCCTATGTGCCAGGACATTTTCTAAGCACTTTCCAAGTATTAACTCATATAATGCTCCCGGCAACTCTATGAAGTAGATTATCATCATCCCCATTTTACAGATGAGGAAACTGAGGTAAGCGAGGTTAAATAGCTTGCAAAGCCGTGGTGCTCAGAGTGCAACTTAACTTAAGCAGATGGCCGCCTTGGTTTATTTGGGAAGGTGAAGTAGAGTTGGAGCCAGGACTCTTTCCCTAACTAGCTGGCTGACCTTGTAAAAGCTGTTGAGTTCCTCTAAATTTCTGTTTCTTATCTTAAAAAAAAAAAGAGGAAGATAACGAATTCCATAGAGACACCAAGAAGACAGTATTTATTCATTCATTCTACAAATGTTGAACAAGCACCTACTAGGTATCATGGAATGGTATCAAATAGTAATAGCTAACATTCCAGAGCACTTTATGTGAAGTATCTCATTTAATTCTGGAAGCCTTATACTGAAAGTACTATTGTACCATTTTACAGACCAGAAAACAGAGGGATAGATAGAAAGATAAAACCACAGAGAGCAAGATGCTTTTTTACTTTTAATTTAAAAATTAGAAAATTATATTTTGGTAATTATAGTCATAAAATAATTCAATGATTTTGTGTAAACGATAAAGCACAAAACAACAAACTTTGGCACAAGATCATGACCTAGGAAAAATTTTCCTTTACTTCCTCCATTTTATTTCTATGGATTGTTAGTAACCTACACTGTTCAGCAACAAAAACTATAAAAGCAGGTATTTACTGAAGGTTTCCTATGTGCCAGGACATTTTCTAAGCACTTTCCAAGTATTAATTCATATAATGCTCCCGGCAACTCTATGAAGTAGATTATCATCATCCCCATTTTACAGATGAGGAAACTGAGGTAAGCGAGGTTAAATAGCTTGCACAAAGTCTTAGAGGTGTTAAGTGTTGGATCTGAGACGCTACCTCAGTCCAGCCCCTGAGACCACACTCCACACGCCTGTGCCGCATTGAGTCCTCCCGTAGGCTGGCGAGGAAATACCCTGCCCCCCTCCACCCCCAGCTAACTCCCTCTCAATCCCCATCCTACTCTGCGCTGACAGCCCAACAACTTCCTAGTCTTAAAAACCTTTCCTAAAGCCTCTAAAAACTTCCAGTTCAAAGGAAGCCTTCAGTGACTTGTATGCTACTGGATTGAGGTCAGCGCCTTTCCGGCCCCTGTGTGTTAGTATTCTGCCTCCAGTTAACGCCACTGTGATTTAATAAGAGCTCTTGGAGGAGAGGTCCCACGAGGGACCTCCTTGTGCTGGGCTGGCTCCTGGGCGCTCCTTCCCCAGCTGGGTGCTGGCTTCTGCCTCTGTGGAGGCGGCACAGCCCAGCCGTGCCCACCAGCATTAACCTTTTCTTCACGCAGTCATTAGCATTTAAATATAGAATGAACCAATGCCTTGATTTATTCTGTGGAGAAATAAATCTACCAGGACAGGCTCAATATTCTTGGTGTGTTTCCTGCTGTGTCTGACCCTGCAAGGCTCTTGTTTCTGAGAAACAAAAGAGGCAGAAAAATGTGAAAAGCAGCCTAAATGATTTTTCTGAGCTCTGCCTCAAATGCATGGTGGAGTCAAATAGCTCAGACAGTTAACCCTACCCTAATTGTTATTTGTTATTTGTAATTTCCTGGGCAGGGAGGGATGGTATGTGTGTGTGTGTGTGTGTGTGTGCGTGTGTGTGTGTGCATGTGTGCGTGTGTGTGTGTGTGTTTTTCTTTAATCAAGGAAGATGCACACCCTTTTTCTGCCTTCACAGCACTCTCTAAGCTCACCTCCATTCTAGTCCTGGTGCACATTTAAAAATCCTTTTTCTTGTTTCTCTCTCTCTCCAACCCCATGTCAGTGTTCCAGAGACCATTACCAGCTTTCATTTCTCTATCCATAGCCCCTAACATAGCACCTGGGATGTAATGAGTGCTGAATAAATGTTAGCTGGGCTTCCCTCGTGGCTCAGATGTAAAGAATCCACCTGCAATGCAGGAGACCCGGGTTGATCCCTGGGTTGGGAAGATCCCCTGGAGAAGAGCATGGCAACCCACTCCAGTATTCTTGCCTGGAGAATCCCCCTGGACAGAGGAGGCTGGCAGGCTCCGGTCCATGGGGTCGCAAAGTGTCGCACATGACTGAGTGACTAAGCACACACACAAATGTTAGCTAAGGAAATAAATGGAAAAAAAGCTAAAGGCTACAGCAAGAAAGAAATCCATCAAATCCTGAACCTCCAGTGGAAGGAGCGAGCTCTTACAAACACATCTGTCTTTGGCCTACGTCACCAGATGGTTCAGGGTTCATGCATGTGAGGTTAGTTGGTCACAATAAAGTGTCATTTAAATTTGTGTCTTGACTTTTTTCTTCTGAGCTCCTAGGACTCATAAAGGCTTTTCATTGAACAGGATTGTTAAATGTTGTGTAAAAGACATCTGAAGAATTAACCTCATGCTCTTCCAGAAAGATGACTGAGAGGGAATGAGCCATCACTAAAAGCTCACCTTTATGTAGGTAGGAAGGCTCCACCCCTCTCCTGCCACTCAAGCTCTTTTGAGACTAGGCTGGCTAGGAGCCCAGGCCTGCGATAGCTGGGGGGTCTGCAGAGCAGTTAGCAAGTGCTGCCCTGCACACAGGCTCCTGTTTAGGGGGTACACCAAGCTGAGGCAGGTACTGCTATTAGCATCCCCACTTTACGGAGGAGGAGACTGAGTCATGAGATTAAAACAGGTGGCTCAGGATGGCTCAGCAAAGTAGTGGCAAAGCCAACCTCTGAACCCAGGAGCTTCAACCCAGAGCCACCTCTCTAACCTCGGTCGGTACTGCCTTCCAGTTCATCGCTACCTAAAACACAATGTAACGGAAAGAGTCCTGTTCCAGGGAGGAGGAGACCCAAGTCTTTTTCCAGGTTGGTCAAAATTTAGCGATGTGATCTCAGAAAGTTGCCTGCTTTTTGTGGTTTCTTAAAAGGGGATAGAAGATCACTGCTTTACAACCTAAATGTCCATTGACAGTTGAATGGACAAAGAAGATATGGTATATGTGTACAGTGAAACATTACTCAGCCAAAAAGAGAATGAAATAAGGCCATGGCAGGAAGATGGATGGATCTAGAGATTATCACACTAAGTGAACTAAGTCAGACAAATACCACATGTAGAATCTACAATACAATACATTTGAACTTAATCACACAACAGAAACAGACCCATAGACATAGAAAACAAACTTATGTTTTCTTAGGTTACCTTAGTTACCAAAGGGAAAAGTGGGGGAGGGATAAATTGGGAGTACGGGATTGACAGATATGAACTACTATATGTAAAATAAACACGTATTTACCCTATAGTACACAGAACTGTATTCAGTATCTTGTAATAACCTAAAATGGAACAGAGTATGAAAAGAGTACTTATGTGTGTATATATGTAACTGATTCACTTTGCTGTATACTTGAAACATTGTACCTTAATAAAAAAAAATGAAAAATGTTTTTTAAAGAACATTACCACCTTAAAGTCTTTCATAAAGGAAGACCCTCCTTAATTAATTCCATGGGGTCCAGGCTTTAAATGAATTATTTGTAAGAAGAATCATATTTATTGAGTAACAATTACCTTGCTTCTCACTTTTTATTAAGTCAAATCAGATTCTCAGTTTCAGTGAGGATCTGCTTGTCCATTTCACCTAGTTTCCACCTGCTGTTTTCCTGCATCCCACCATGGATTATTTTTCTTTCTTAGTCTTAGCCACCATTTTCCATGCAATAAGTCTGTTTACTCAGTTTCCTCTGTCTGGGCAGCAGTTTATCTGCCTTATTCTCCTCTGTGTCCTCAGGGTCTAACATCTAGCAGCTGCTTGATGAGTTGTTGGGCTCATGAGTAAATTGACTTATTGGTATTGACAAGCCTATTAGCTGAGGCTATTGAAGGGTAAGCCATGTAATATGGCTTTAAAGGTATTGAAAATAACTTGAAGTGCTCCATTTTTGCTCTTTAAAAGGCTCTGGGTTTGATATTGCTGGGTGGAATGACCTCCAAGCTCCCATCTGCTTCTGGAATTTCACAACCCAGTGGTTTTCCCTTGTGAAGATGACTGGAGAGATTCACTGAAGACTGGACACTAGGGGGTGTCTTTCTCCCAATTCATGTGAAGTAGGGAACACTCTGGAGCCACCAGCCATACCCATCTGTCTCCAAGCAGGGTCACCTCAAGGCCCGGTGATGTAGCATAACTGTATTCATGGTGGAGAGACGTCTATGGTAGTAGAAGTTCTTTAAAGATCCAAATTGATAGGAAACCTATACCCTTTCCACTCACACACTTTTTTCCTTTACACACTTCATGTGTAAGTTGAAGGAATTGGAAAAAAGATTCCCTTTATCCTTATATATATATATATATATATATGAAAGATGCTTGGATCTATCCCTTTAAGAAACTAAATATTAATATTATGGGACCTCACGAATGTTGTTGAAAAGCCATGTGTACGGTCATAAGGACGGGTGGACGAAGGCAGGCTGGGCAGAGGGAGAAGCTCAACTCAGATGCAGTTGCCATGGAGGCCTCAGCCAATGGTACAGGATGCTTTGGAGCTGTGAATGGTCCTCCTAAGTCATCCTTAACTGTGGCTGGGGCCAAGCCTTTGGTCTCTTCATCAGCCAGGCATTGGTCACCAACCACCCTGTGTTAGTCTGTTCAGGCCACTATACCAGAATACCACAGACCGAGTGGCATACAAACAATAGAAATTGATTGATTTCAGTTCTGGAGGCTGGGAAGTTCAAAATCAAGGCACTTGCAGATTGAGTGTCTGGTGAGAGCCCACTTCTTGCTTCACAGACAGAGGCTGTCTTCTCACTGTGTCCTCACATGGCAGAAGGAATAAAATGCTCTGAGATCTCTTTTATAAGAGCACAGTCTCATTCATGAAGCCTCCACCCTCACGACCTAATCACCTTTCAAAGGCCATGCCTTCAGATGCCATCACATTGGGGTTAGGGTTCCCCCAACACAAACATTCAGTCTCTATCACATCCTCATATCCTTGGCTGAGGCTGCACAATGGCTGCGGGCAAGTCCATCAAAGGCCATAGTCCTGGGCCCTTGGCAACTGCGGGGGTGGGTGCAGAGGCCCCTAGTAGGGATCTGGAACTTTCATCTGTCATCATATCCTACAGCATACTTGATTTGTCAGAATGGAATAGAATAGAACAATTTTCCTGGCCAGGGCTGTGTTGCGCTCAACAAAGGAGGAATCAACCTGAAAACAAAGATGGCCTGGTCCTCCATCTGCCAGACCTCCTGGCAGGGACGCCAACACAGGAATAATCTGCAGAGGAAGGTTCCTAACCCCCTCTCCCTCTGGCCTCACCTTCTCACTTTCCCTTGCCCTCTTCTCTGTTAGTTTTATTTTCCAGCTAAGCTGCCAGTGGCAGCCTTTGATGGGCATGAGGTCAGAGAAGGAGGTCAAGGGGACAGGGAGGGGCTTGCCCTTCCAGGTTAGGGGGCAGGGAAGGGAGTGGAAGTCCTCTTTCTGGGTCAGGATCCTTTTGCTGACAGAGTGAGTGACACATGTGTCCAATTACCTTCCGAGATACAGAACGTAAAACCGAGCTGCCACTGCTTACCTGCTTCAGCTGTGCCTGACTCCGCAACTCCATGAACTGTACCCCGCCAGGCTCCTCTGTCCACGGAGCTCTCCAGGCAAGAATACTGGAGTGGGTTGCCATAGTGGGCACCAAACGTTCTATCTTCTGAAAGAGTGGAATCTTGATCTTATAGACTAGAGGGTATTTCCCTGAGATCATGTGTCAGCAGGGGAGGTGTGTCCTGGGCTTATTTGTTTTTGTCTTTGAAGAGCAATGAATCACCCTAAAGAAGTAAACGGAAATTCAATTCTAGGAAGTTCTGTTGCTGCTGCCGCCAAGGAGCTTCAGTCGTGTCCGACTCTGTGCAACCCAACGGACTGTAGCCCACCAGGCTCCTCTGTCCATGAGATTCTCCTTGTGGGGTGCCATGCCTTCCTCCAGGGGATCTTCCCAGCCCAGGGAGAGAACCTGCATCTCTTACATCTCCTGCATTGGCAGGCAGGTTCTTTACCACCAGCACAACCTGAGAAACTCAGGGGGGTTGAGACTGTGCTTCAGTTAGTGAGTCTACTTTCTGACCTCGCGGGAAGCGTGGCCCCTCTAGGTGTCCACTTGCATCTTTAGCTCTTTGACTAGTGAGTGTGCATGTTTCATACTGGATTGCAAGGGAAATTTATATTTTCTAATTTTTTTTCATAAAATATACCAGTACTTTGGATTCCAGGTAACAGCTTTTGAATGGATCTACTATTCTAATGTTTTATTGGAAATGGAGTGATCTATAACATGACTTACCCCTTTGATAATTATGGCTTCTTGTGGCTTCAAGGAGGCTTGAGAAAACTAGATCCTCGAGGCCGTGGTCATAAAGACAGCCTCCCCAGCCCTACCCTGTTCACATATGAGCCAGGGCTCCCAGCCTTCCTGTCATCCCTACTCTCCCCTTAGGCCAGGTGGCACTAGTGGTCAAGAGTCTGCCCGCCAGTGTGGGAGACACGAGAGACTCAGGTTCAATCCCTGGGTTGGGAAGATCCCACGGAGGAGGAAACGGCAACCCACTCCAGTATTCTTGCCCGGAGAATCTCACTGACAGAGGAGCCTGGTGGGCTACAGTCCATGGGATTGCAGAGAGTCGGGCATGATGGAGTGAGCACAAACGCACTCACCCCTCAGCTTGTGGGAAGGTGGGACCCCTTAAGAGTCTGGGAGTTCAGAAGACAAGGAAGAAGGGCTGACAGAAGTGTGAACAGCCTGAACCATCACGCCGGGGTNGTGGGTGGGTGGGGCTGGGGGACTCTGGTTCCCACACCACCAAGCTCGGTGCTGAAGACACGGACTCAGGCATTGCAGGAAGCCTGGCCTGGAGTCCTGGTTTAATTACTTACCCAGCCTGTTCCTGCCGAGCATGATTTAATGTCCAGGTACCTCAGGCTTGTTTTGTTTTTGTTTTATTCTTTTGTTTCTTTTTAACTGAGTAAAACAGTGTGATAGTAGCAGGCTCCTAGGTTATTATGAAAACTCACTGAGACAATGAGAGGAATGTAAGCTTCGCGAGGACAGGGGCACGCGTTTCATCGTGGGGCTGTAGTCCCCGTGCTCACGTCATTGCTCTGGGTCCTGAAATAGCTGCCCGATCACAGCACACAGCCTGGATTACAGTCAGCACGCATAGCAACGCAGCTGCTGTCACTCTGCTGGGAATGTCTCCCTCCAGCCTGCTGCTCCCGGATCTGAACGTGTGCCGGGCATTCTTGCCACACTCAGGGGAGGGCCCAGGCGCAGTCACCCCTGCACTTGGTCGAGCAGTGACTGGCTGGGTTCCTCCGATGACTCAGCAGATGGCAGACCTGTGAGCGGGACCGTGGGATTGAGGAGGCAGGTTCCAGTGCTCTGGTGCCTGCAGAGGGGTGCGGGTCGGGGGGCCAAGCTGAAGGATTTCAAAGGGCGGGAATCCTGGAATGCTTGAAGAGCGGCTGTTAGGTGCTGGAGAAGAGGGTGGCGGGTGGGGCGAGTGGTGCAGGGGATGGCAGGGAGCCAAAAGACATTATGTGCTGAGTTTGTTTTAGGAAATTTGCCAGGAAAGCAGAAAGTCCTTTTCCCCTCTTCTGTATTCTTCTCTCTCCCAGAATGGAGCCTACTGGGGAGATCTGCTTGCATGCTAGAGACCTCACAGACTCCCAGGCAGAATGGAAGCAGACTCGGGCTGACAGTCGGTTCCAGCGCAGAAAATTCTTGAATTCTTGAATAAATCGGAGGGTCTCCAATTGGTTTCCAATTGCAAACTGGAGGCCAAAGAGCTTTCACCTCCTTGACGTGCTAGGAAGTGCTCTAGTAGGGGCAGAACTTCACTTGAAGAGACGGCCATGCACCAGCTGGTCCAGAGGTTGGCTGAGTTCTAAGGAACATCTTGAGAGGGGCCATCAAAGTGTTCACATTTTCTCCCAGCCATGTTCCTAAGGGCACTCTGGCCACATGTCCTGGGAAAGACATTTATAAAACGAGCACGGAAGGCGACAGGAAGATGTGCAACACCAGGGGTGTTAAGGAAGCCCAGAAAGGGAAGTCCTTTCTTAAGCAGCCCTCAAAGACTGACTGTGCTGTTGGGAGGGGTCCTTGCCTGGGCGAGCAGTGACCGGGCCATGTTACGTTGTGGGGGTGGATGGGAAGATGACAGATCCTTCTACAGCAGCCGAGGGCTGAGCTGGTCACCTGGGGGACGGGGAGTGCTGGGAACAGGGCAGTTGGCAGGACTGTGGGTGCCCAGCAGCCTCCTGGCTGCCAGAAGGACCCTGAACCTCAGCCGCCCTGCCTGGATATAACCTTGGCTACTGTCAGAACCGGAGCTACCCGTATAAAGATACTTGTGGATTACATGACTTGAAATTTGGGGGCTTACTCTAATGGACCTCAGGTTGGGGGTCTTCTCCCACCTAATGAGGAAGAGAGAGGAGGCGTGTGAGGAGCCAGCCAGATGGCTCCCATGTTAATGGACCAAACGCAGTACAAAAGATAGAACCGGCCTTGCCTTGTTAGAGTGCAAACCGATTTACCCCTGGGGGCTCAGACAGTAAAGAGTCCATCTGCGATGCAGGAGACCAGGGTCTGATCCCTGGGTCAGGAAGATGCCCTGGAGAAGGGCATGGCAACCCACTCCAGAGGAGCCTGGTGGGCTACAGACCACAGAGTCAGAGTCGGACACGACTGACAGACTAACACACCCAAAGAGCAGCCAGGCCATTCCCACTGCCTCCATCCCCTTCCCCGCCCTCAGTAAGAATTCGAGTTATGGTTGCCAAAGGACGGGAAGGAAAGAAACATAAACACCAGGCATTGACCCGATACAGTGGGCATCCAGCATGCTGTCGGACATTGTGTTTCTCTAGAGCGTTGCAGTTCTTTTCACAGATCATAAACTGTTTGATTAGCTTCAAAAAACATGCCAGCATGTCCCAATTATCCTCAATAAGGAAAAGGTGGAGGGGATTAAACATTGCCTAAGAGAAGTTAAAGCTACTAAACCCAATCTAGGCAAGTAGTTTTTACCAAACTCACCTGGCATCACTCCATCAGGGGAACGGTCAGAAAACGGCTGTTGGTTTCCCTGCCTAGTGAGGGCTTGAGGGCCCCAAGGGGACTCAGATGACTTACTGGAGGTGGGGGGTGGACAAAGGCCAGAGGTTGTGAACAGAGGAGCATGTCCGCTCAATCAGGAGACGCCCACTGGGCTGGAAGGAGATCCTGACACTCCAGGGCTGCTCTGCCGCTCTGGGCCACTTCTGGAAGGTCATTCCTGGTCCCTGGGCCTCCTCCACNTGCAATGTTGTAAAGTAATTAGCCTCCAACAAATAAAAATAAATAAATTAAAAAAAAATAAATAAATAAATAAAGAAGGTTTCCACGGAGGGGCAGTGGCCCCAGCAGCAGAGGGTGCACAAGTCTTTGTGTTTCACACCAAAGGCAAGGGCATGAAAGTCGCATCCGACTCTTTTCGACCCCATGGACTCCTCTGTCCATGGGATTCTCCAGGCAAGAATACTGGGGAGATAGCCTTGCTCTCCTGTGGGGGATCTTCCTGAGCCAGGGTTCGAACCTATGTCTCTTGTCTCCTGCATTGGTGGATGGGATCTTTACCAGGACCACCACATGGGAAGCCCTGGTTCCGCACTAGCAGACCCAACATAGTCTCTGCCTGGTCTCTGCTCTACATCTCCTGCAACAGAATTCCCCTGCTTCCCAAGGATACCAAGGCAAAGAAATATCTACAAACTCTGATTCCTTTCAAAGAGTGCCAGGAATTTTGAACATGGGGGTAATTTATCTTCTAGGGACTAAAGTTTTTTTTGTTGTTTGTCTCTGGACCATGCAGCTGTTTATATTAGGTTTGGTTTGACAGCTGATTCCGGCTTTATCTAAATGTGTCTTCCCCCACAGGCAGGGTGGACTTGCCCCTAAGGTAATCACTCATCACCTGCTGTGTGCCCAGACCTCAGAGAGGGAGGAGCAAGAGAGACTTAGCACTCACTCTGGGTCTCCGCAAAGCAGCGGATAATGATGCCAGATTCTGGTTGATAATTATGCTTAGCCAGAGAATTCCCCAAATTCATTGTCACATCTTGTTACAGAGACGTGCCTGCTCCGGAGGGGCCCCCTCCAGGCGCATCTCTGGGGAGCAGGCAAACAAAGGCAGAAACCGGGGAGCCAAAGTCATTATTGGAACCAAAGTGACAGGATGGAGGGACTGTGAAGAAATGATATGCACAGTTAGCAGCCTGGCAAGTCTACAGACTTAAGTCACTTGTTAAGATTTCCTCTAATAACTGATGGGGGCTTTGTAGCAAACTTTCGCTCCCTATCCATCTTAGGAGTGACAAAAATAGAGCACTGAGGTTGATTGACAGCACGTCATAGGGCCCATTTATCCATCCCAAGCTCTCGTGAGAAGGGGAGGCAAAATGCCTTTAGTACAGCAGTGGTCCCGGCCTCTTGTCAAGACTCCGCCATCCTTCTCTCTGGTCTGAAAAGTGCTTTGGCTCCAGCACCAGGTCAGTGGGAGAGACCGAGTGAAGGTCAGGCTACTTTC